ATGGAAAAGATCCATCAGCCTGCATCAAAACAGTATCATTCCCAGAAAATTCTTGGTCAATTGTACGACAAGGTTGAGAGCGTTGACTTCGTACCACAATACGAAGAACCTTTTGACAAACGTATTTTGAGGGCTTACAAACTAGAAAATGCCATTCTGAAGGCTGCCCGTCAGACGAAGACCAAATATGACACCGCTATGCGACGAATTCTAGCCCAACAAGACATCAAGACTGAATTCGAAGTGTGGTCAACATTTATCCTTTCAAAGCCAAAGGTCGGAAGTGACTACAAACTTCAGGAAGATATGGCAGTGATCACCGGTGCACTCAAAGATAGGTTTCGCGCGGTATGCATCAATGCAGCTGGTGGTAAAGACTTTTCAATCCTCGGGCCATTTGTTGCTGCCATGTACCAAGTGACAAAAGAAGAACTCGACATCGCATTGGCTGAATGTCGTTCAACGAGAACGGTTAACGGAATAAAGATGCAAAAGCGAAGAATGAGACCTGAATCAATGCCATTGATCAGTTTCCCATGGTTGTTCGAGAAGGAATTGGGCAGAATTGCTACTGGTATTGAAGCCATAGATGACTTCGAAAAAATAGGGTTCTCTACCTTTAGCATCGAGAAGCCTCAGGTCACAGCGCTGAATCGTCAGCCGCAGCGCTCTAAGCAAGACGAGGACTTTGTCAAGCAAGAAAACGGTCTTATTGTTCACCGTGGTGAAATTCTTGACGTGTTCCCAGAGAACTCGGACAACGACTTTCCTTGGGACTCTGACGCGAGGTCTGATACTTCTCTGCCAGACTTTGTAGCCTCTGCCCAACCAATGTCAAGAAACGGAGTAGAGTCTACTACAGTCGAAGCTTCTTCCAAAGACACGAATCAAATTTCTACGCTTCAAGACGATGTACTTCCCCAAAACTTACAAAGTCAGAACCATGCATCAACAAGTACAGAGCACGAAGAATTAGACGATGCAACAGAATCTATCAACCAGGAAATCCTCACGCCATCATCATCAGTCCAGAGCTCCTCTCCAGTAGCCCCTATTACCACAACCAAGTCTGATATAAGCCTCTCTGATGATGAAGAGACCGAAGAACATGTCGAGATCATAGAAAATGTCGTTCGCGAGCGGTCTATGATCGATAGACTATCGGCTTTCGTGGATTAATCAACTCTCTTACAAACTTTCGAAAGAATTTCAAACCTCGTTAATTGATGGATGTTTTCGTTGACTTTCTACCTTTCTTCCTTTGTTTCTTTCTATTTTCCCTACTGCCCGTTTAAGAGTTTCCAAAAGTGCGTTTCACTACGTTGAAATTACACTAATCCGTGCTGCAAAGTTTAGCTTTGATCCAGAAAATCCTCAAGATATTGATGGAACAGCATAGATGAATCAGTTTGCATGGGTTTTTTTCTTCTCCAGGAGAGTTTCAATTTTAGTAGCTAGGGAGGAATTAGGTGAGCGGATCTGAAAACTAGTTGCATGGTATTGCATAGCAAGCTAGCGAGCGACCATTTGGTGTTCAATCTTACGATTCAATGAATTAATGAAAATTATGATATACCATCATTGCTCTCTGTATAATGATGATGCCGATTTGAACTTTGTGAATTATTTTCGTGAGTTGATGTGGTTGCATATTATGCGATTAGCACCCTTCCCCTTTTTTGGTTCCCTTATAGCCGAGGAACTAACCAACCATTTGCAGAATGAATGAATGGATGATCGACAGAATGGACATTGCTTTGATATTGGACTGGCACGTTTAACGTCACTGCATACATATTCCGAAATTTCGTAAACGATACACGCCACATGAAGGGATAATGTATAATATAATTTTAATTGCATGAGCCTTTCTTATGCAATTTGTAAATGCAACTTTTAAATTTTAAAACAACTGGGTATATGACTAGTCCTTAGATATATCCCTTAAGAACTGCAGCTTCTGCATTCAATATCGAAGAACCAGCAGCTCCAATGACGGCTAAGTATGGTGTTAGCACTTGAGCATTGTAAGATTGGAAAGGGGAGGGAAAATTACTGTTATGACTCAAGGCCACAAATTTAAGATCAAAAATTCCGCTATCATCTTCTCTAACTCTTCCGACACTGACTGTGTATCCGTTCTGTGTGTTGCGATCCAATCTTGGTTGTGGTCTATCCGCTTCCTCCATAACAGCAATCGCTGGCTCCGGTGCTGACGGACATCCCAATGTCTGCGCCTCGCTTACATATTCCCTCATAGCCTTCTTTACCTCTTCTGCGGTAGGTTTAGGTCCATCGCGGTTCTTGAAACGAAGAGATACGCAAGCCATATGTCCATCTAGAACTGCGACTCTGTTGCAAGCCGCTGAAATCTTCAATTCTGATTGATCCTCAAATCCAGTGACTTCAGAATTGACTCTTCCGAGAATCTTCTGTGCCTCCGTCTCTAACTTGTCTTCCTCGCCGGAGATGAATGGAACAACATTGTCGAGAATATCCATACTGCTTACGCCTGGATAACCGGCACCACTAACAGCTTGCATGGTGACCACGCTCACTTGGTCGACTTCTCCGAAAGCTTTTTGGATGGCGGCGAATGGGATAACTATGCCGATGACTGCACAGTTGGAGTTGCAGACGAGGAAACCCTTCTTTAAGGAATGGGCGCGACGTTGGTGAGGAATGAGATCGAAATGGGGGAGGTTAACTGTAGGGACGATGAGGGGAACGATTGGATCGCGACGGTAGTTCTTGGCATTGGAGAAGACGGCCAATTCAGCCTTCATGAATTCCATCTCTAGATTAATAGTTCAAGTAAGTATTGCCCCTAACAACTCTGTCGTCTCACAATGGGAATTTCCCAAAGAGCAAGGAAGGGTAACTGTATTTGAGGGTCTCATACCAATGTCACCAGCAACATCAGCATCCAATCCACTGAACACAATGTCACAATCCGCAAACTCGCTTGCTTTGCATTCTTTAACGACTAAATCGCCAATCTCGGCGGTCATGGGAAAAGCTTGTTTCCATTTGACAGCATCTTTGTACTTCTTTCCTGCGGATCGCGAAGAGGCTCCTACGGCGTGGAGTTTGAAATATGGATGTTGAGCAAGAAGAAGAATGAATCTTTGACCGACGGAACCGGTGCATCCGAGTACACCTAGATTAGATTAATCAGCGTATGTTATGCGGGAAGCTGGAATGGGAAGGTAGGTAGTGAAGATATATGAAGAGTGATGAGAGTTGTGAGGAGGGGTATGTTTGAGTTAACTAACCACAACGCTTGGTTGGGAATTGAGTGGTCATGATGTGCAATTTGATCTGGCAGTGAAGATTTAAATATTGATATGTATTGCGATGGTCAAGAAAAGCGAATCTATGGAAGATATAACAATTTAAAAGGTTTATAGGTTATGACTGTTTCCATTGTGATGGAAATCATAGTGGGGGTGGAGAGTAAGGCTGGACTATTTTTTCTGTGGGGTGCCGACGTCGGGCATGCAAGGCTGAAAATATTTCTTCATGTATCGTAAATATAACAAGATTTTGCCACATACAAGTTCTCTTGGAAATGGAATCAAATCGAGTCACGTTATGGAAAGACGGATTTGATACTCAGATCCGGAGTTGAGGAGTCTTCGAATAATATATACAAGAAAGCAATTAGCAAGACATGTCGCTCTGGGTGTGCTACTCAAGACTAGTCTTTGCCATTCATATACACGTCGGCAAATCATCAGGGTAGAGTGGGTTCATTATTTTGAGTTGTAGCTAGTTTTTCTATTATACATCCATCTCCATGTGTCGTAATCGTCAGATTCGGGCCCTTAATACTGACTGGCGGTGTTCTGGCATGCTTTCTGTGAGAAAACTGTTAGCTTGACTTGGGGTCCGAAAGATTATAGGTTCGTCCATACCAATTGCTCCAAATACCAGTTGCAGATAGACATGTTTCCTTGGTTCTCGTCCATGCAGTTGGTAAAGCTCTTGACCTGGAAGCCACAGTTTGGTTCGCCAAATTGGTTCTTCTCTTGACCTTGGGATGCTACAGCATTATCCTGAGCTGCTTCGGGTGCGCTAGATCCACCGCCGAAGAAACCGGTAATAGCATGTCCTAATGAAGATCCGATGGCGACACCTCTGCACGAAAGAGATCAGTATGCAACTTTAGAAATGATGTCTGGCGCAATGAACACTCACGCTGCAGTGCTAGCCACTTGTCCAATCAAACCTGGACCAGAAGAACCTTGAGCTTGTGGAGCTCCTGCTTGTGGTTGAGGAGCAGCTGGGGGAGCTGCACCTGCTGGCCTTGGTGGGTATGCAGCAGTGGTTGCTGGTCGGGTTTGCTGGGCGGAAGGTGAAGGTCTGCTTGGGGCTGAGACAGTTGGTCGAGATGGGGCGCTTCCCCTTCCAGATCTTCCTTGACGAGGCATATTTAGTTGATGAAGTGAGAGAAATAGATTCAGGTTATAGGTGTGAGTATACGATTTTGCTTAGAGAATTGTTGAAGTTGTTGAATGCCGGCCAATGAGATACTTGACAATTTAATCCCGGAATATAATCCGTTTCCCACGTGCTAATACCGATTGGGTTAGTTCAGCCTTAATGTACCTGTACTGGTAAATTCCAATGAAATGGATGATTCTAGATGGCAAGACTTTGTTAGATTTCTCGAGTACAATTGTTTAAGTACTACATAGTGAACTCCAACAACCGTGAAGAGGATGTTCAAAACAGATAGAAAGCATTTATTTTCTGATGAACAGAATCTTGAGAGAAGAATGTCTAGTAGTCTAGTAGGTATTTATTATTTCTTTCTATCGTAAATCTAGATACTTATTGCCCAGTAACTCAAACCCGAAAGCTATCCTATTTTGCCGTGACAAATCGTGGTATCATCCCTAAGCCAGTTCCATAAACGCCCTTTTAGATGTGCATGCATCCGGTGACTTTCATATCCGTATACATCTCCATATACATATCCCATTCACCACATATTTCTAGTTCTTGCTCTTGCTCTTGGCCTTCTTGGATTTACTCCTTGTTTTCTTCTCCTGAGTTTCCTGCTTGGATTTTTGGGATTTAGAATTGGAGGTGGAAGAGCTATCCTCTTTAGACTCGATAGGGGTGGCTGCTGCCTTCGCAGTCTTAGACTTTTTGCTTTTGTGTGCTGCAGCTGCAGGTTCATCTGAGGAATCGGAAGGTGAACCGGAACCATCAGATTCATTCGAGGTTTTGGATTCTGCTTTATTGGATTCTGCTGTTTCTTCGCCCACCTTTCTCTTCTTTGATAGCTCCTCAAATCTGATGTGAGACTTCGCTCTCTCCTTCGCCAACTGCTCTGCTCTTTGAAGATCATATTTATCATTTCCGCTCTGTACGCACTGTTAACATGGGCTCTCAACCCCCACAATTGAAAAAGAGTAGAAGCTTCCTTACCAATCCTGCTTTGATGAATCTTCCAGCAGCTCCTTTATCCAATTTGAGATTTCTTTCTGCTGCAGTTGCCGGTGGATTCTCTGTAACCTTGATCTTCTCAAAATACTGCTTCATCCGAGTAAGCTCGGTGAAAACAGGATGTTCACGGGCATTGACACCATTAAGTCGAAGGTATGCTGTCGAGACGAATTAGTATAAAAGTACGAAATGCGACGGAAGTAAAGTGATGGAAACTCGTACAGAATAATATGGACTCAATGGCATATGTGACAAGAGTGTAAAGCTTCGCCTTGTCCAATAAAGGTAACTTGCTTGCGAACTCTGGGATAGTCTTTTGAATGAAAGGTGCAACCGCATCTTCAATATCATCGATATCGTCATCGAGCTGCTCGAGCAAAGAAAGAATCTTAGTGGGATCCATTGTCGAGATTCAGTTGAAAATGTTGTAGCGAATATGATTGATGTAACATGCGCGATCGAGAGGAACCTGGGTGGTAGATACGATTGAATTTTACTTGTTGTTGGATTGTGGTTGATGTAGAGTATCAATTCATTCATTCATTCGTATTCGTAACTTTCGTCCTTGGATTTTCAACTTTCCACCATTCTTTTCGAGAAAGTTTGGGAATGAATTCCGACGCTATCGGAAAAAAGCGGCCGCATTCAGTTGCATTGGAATTGAAGTCTTCCAATTGGATTACATGCTTGCTTGACAGGGATTTTCAATAAATATTCTCTGCTAAAGTGCGCTTCATCGACATTTTTTTCGATTCCGAATATTTGATTGTAAATTGATATTTAGTACTGGAATCTCTCTCATCACATCTATACGACTCAACTTTTGCCTCCCATTTGAACACTCACTTACTGTTACTTTGTATCCCGTCCATGTTCGAGGTCTACATATCTTATGTAAATAGACTTCAGTCTTGTTTTGTACTAAGCCGAAATCTCAGATATATCTCAAGCTAGCTTCACCCCTCACCGAACGGAACTTCAACATACATTTCGCCTCATTTTACTGAAACTCGACAAATTCTACTCTCCATCGTTGTCCACTACAAATTACCTTCTTACCCTTTTGCGGATGTGTAGAAGGACGTGAAGGCTTCCTTTTCTTGCTTTGGTTTCGAGTGCGGACAATTGCAGCAACGAAAGAGTAGACATCTTGATTCTGCTTGTCTGCCATGAGTTCATTGTAATAACCATTGAGAGTGTTCATCCTGTCTTTTCCAAGGTGCGGTCGTCCGCTGTGGCGGGTGCTTGCTCGAAACCCTCAAAATTGTCGATGGCTCTCAGGTAGCATTACCCTGGGCCGGGTGGCCACTCGCACTTGGTCGAGACATGACGAGACATACTGGTGGCCGAGGCGGAAAGGAGGAATGCACGCCAGCTTGTCATTCGTTTGGGGTTCAGAGAGAGATACCACTACCAGCGGACCTTCTAGGAGTTACGGGAGCAAAAGCGATGGAGTTTATGCGAGCGAAGGGACAGCAGACAAAGATATCACCAATCAAGAGGACAGGCACAAAAGAATTACGCCCAGCGATCATGCTTATGCTCTGGATATAGGGACACAAGACGAGCGGGAATTGGAACTTGACAGCGAAGAAGGGAACGATCCATCACCGTTCGATTTCGCCTACTCGCATCGACCTTCGAAATGGGAGGCAAAGAAGAGCTTGTCGGCTGAAGAGCTGCAGGGTAACGATGACTTAGAAGAGCTTGAGAATGTTTATGCCTCCGACATTGGGCCTGAATATTTGCATTCCCCGGACGTCCTAGTTACGAATGTAAAATATGCCGCCCAAAAGTCACCTTCAATGTCTTCTCACAAGCATGGCCAAGAACCTTTACAGTCAAAACAAGTCGCTGATCTTCAGCACAAACCGACATCACAAGATTCAACACACCGAGGGGGTACGCCTATATCACGCACAATCCACGTTCTAGGAACAGGGCCTATTGGACAATTCATTGCGTATAACCTTGCTGAAATGGATTCTCCGCCGCCTGTTACTTTACTGATGCACCGGCCACTGTTGATTCAACAATGGCACCACTCGCGTCAAGTTCTCAGAGTATGCAAGGATGAAATCATAACCGAGCAATCCGGTTTCGATGTTGAATTATCCGCAAGTTTCAATATTCCTGGGCCCGAGTCAGAGACTGGTGCCACTGAGCATAGATTAGGATACACGAACGAGGTCATAGACAACCTGATCATCACAACGAACGGCGACAAAACAGTGGCGGCACTCACATCCATCAAGCATCGTCTCCAGCCTCATTCAACCATATGTTTTGTGCAACATGGAGCAGGTGTCATCGAGGATGTTAACAAGCATGTTTTCCCAGATTTGCAGGATCGTCCTCATTACATGCTTGGTAATTTATCTCATGGATTATTTGCCACGGATCAACTATGGACTGTGGCCCAAACCACCCAGGGAGAGCTGAAGCTTACAATTCCTCAATATGACAACAGCGCGCGCTCCAATGAACCATTGTCCCAAAGCTCAGACAGGAAGCTCACAAATAACTGGGCACCATCTTCAAGATACATGTTAATGTCATTAAGTCGTTCTCCTGAACTTAAAGCCATAGGCCTGAACTATCCTGACTTCATGAAATTTCATCTCGAATACATCGTTGTCAATTCCGTCATTGGGCCGTTATCTGTCATTTTTGATTGTTCAAACGACCAGCTGTTGTACAATTACCAAGCAAGTCAGACAATGAAGTCCCTCTTGTGGGAAATTTCGTATGTTGTGAGAAGTCTTCCGGAGCTTGCGACGGTGGCAAATCTTAACAAACGTTTTGGCAACCGCAGGTTAATGAGCATGATACACTCGGTGCTTGCTCGTAGCGGGAAAAACGTTACATCTATGTTACGCAACGTCAGAAGTGGAATGAAAACGGATGTTGACTTCTACAATGGCTATCTCGCTCGGAGGGCAAAAGAATTGAACATTCCATTCTCTTCAAACGAGTTAGTCATAAGTATGGTTAAAGCAAAACAGGCTATGAAGTCGAGGGAGATGAATTCATATATACCCGCGGTTGATCGGAGATAGATGGAATGTGAAGGTACGCTGGGTTTGTGAGCGAACGAACTGGGTATGTTTTACCATGTAGGATTGTACGTTTATGTTAGAATTAGCAACACCTGTATATTACGTCTTAGATATCTTATATACTCGGTCACTCGCAAAAGCGACACTTTAGACTATAGATCAATGAATAATGCACATATGCCTCTCTTGCAAACTCAATCATCAATGCGCTACTTTATCTTTCTGTGGTCAGTCGACAAGAGGCTTCAAGACTTGTGAAATTTAGCAACAAGCCCAATGGCATGTTACTTTGCACCCAGTGAGCCACTATCATGGGTTTTTGAATCCAAACTCAAGGCCTCAGTGAGCTCTTATCTGAAATGCTTTCCAACTCCTTGAGATTGATCTTAATTTCTTGGTTATGATAATGTTACAATTAAACTGAATTTATATCTGAATGAAAAATAACTATCAATCAATTTATCGTGGGATTGAAAAGTTATAATTTAATTCACGGTTGTGGTATGATGTCGTTTTGCCCAAAGAGGGGTTGCCAATTATGGTATTCGTTAAAGACTGGGTACCACAAGGCTGGCATCGCAAAGTTACAACACCCCTCATTTTCTTCGACCAGGACAAAAGTTACACACACTCAACACCTTAATTATGGAAGACGACGATTTGGCACAAGTAAGTCTCTGGGACGACTTAGTCACGACCTAATACTAATTATTCTTTAGATCAGAAAAGCTCGTCTTGAGCAACTGAAAACCCAAGGCGGAGGAGGAGGTAGACCAGGCGCAGCAGGCGGCAGTGGAGGACAAGAAGACGGCAGACAGTGCGCTCTACTTTGTCGAAGATGCATATAAACAACTAATCATTTGCGCCATAGACAGCAAGAAGAAGCGGCTCGACAATCCATCCTGACCCAAATTCTCGAACCCGAAGCGGCAGATCGTCTAGGTCGCATTAGACTTGTGAAGGAGTCCAGAGCCGTCGATGTTGAAAATCGCTTGATTATGTTGGCGCGTTCGGGACAGTTGAGATCGAAGATTACGGAGGAACAATTGAAGGATTTGTTGAGCAGTGTGTCGGAGGCTCAGGAAACTAAAGAAAAGATTGTGGTTACCAGGAGGAAGGGTGCTTGGGATGACGACGATGATGATCTTTTCGACTTGTAGTCTATGGTTCGGAAATCAGGGAACATTTAGTGAGCAGATATTTCAGGAATGAAATCCATAATGCTGGGATAATCTTTGGTCTCCGAGGAAAAGGAGTTAATATTGCGAAATTTTGGGAAATCTACTGCTATGGTATCAAATTACTGTGCTATCAGGTCCCCCTCAAGTCGCCTTTTGGGCCTTCTTTCTCTCCTTCTCCATCCGTCTGATATCTCTAAGATCAAGAGGCTTTTCAATGCCTAACTCTTCTCTCAATTCTTCCACGCTCCTTTCCAACTGCTCCTCCCAATAAACATTAATAACTTCCTCTGCTTTCAACCCATTTGCAAACGCCCAAGGCGCATATATTGTAAAGAATCTTCTCCTCTCTGCTGGCTTCAATGACATCACAGCAAACATACTCAGACCCGTCATTGGTAACAGAGTATTAGCAAACTCAAATGCCTTGAGCGCCACTTCGCCTTCCCGCACAATAGGTAAACCCGTTATGGCATGATAGAAGTCGTGACATTCGCGATACCTTTGCATAACATATGCGCATTCTTCATCATCGATATATTTTACTGAATCGCGTGTATCGGGGGAAACTCCCTCACGATCCAACCATTCCGCGTAGCACCTGCCTACAGTGTTTGGGGGAAGCGCCCGGAGACGTGGCATAGAAAGAGTCTTGGAAGATATCCTAGGGCGATCGCGAAGTATACGTCGACCGGTAGGAGAAGAAAGCATGGCATCGCGGAGACGGTATATAAAATATGGTGTTGCGGTAGCTTCTCCACAGGCTGCAATTAAATCTAGTTCCCCGGATTAGTTGAGAGTAAATGTGGTTTAGGATGATCAATTCATACCTGCACGATAGGGATTAAAGAATGCCATTACTGCTGAGCCCACAGCCAAACCGCCCCGCTCAATGGAAGTAAGTGGTACATGGCCTGGATAATTTGGAGCGGGACGATGCAATACACTGAAACTTCTTGTAGCTAAAGTAATAGAGCAGGCGGAAAGTAATTCCCTTGGAAGGCGGGACACCTGGGTATATAGACGAGGAGACAATGACATGTTCGGATTATAACTTTGAATTAACCCCTCCTATGTCGACGGGGTGGGATGCTACAGCAGATCAGCTTCAATTATATTGCCTGCCGCCCTTTCGTCGAAATGGCTCTCGGCAAAAGCAGCACTAGAAGACTTTATTGCTACAAATTACTTGCGCACAGCAAATGATAGATGAGAATTTACATTGAATAATTGATCTCGAAATACGAATGCTCTGTTATTAAATGCTTATATCTAGTAGTTCTAGGTGAAGCTTGTGGAAATCATCAACACAGCGGATCAGTCACACATCACGATTTCAGATATTCTGCAGCGAGCAGCCCCTTCGTCTAACTACGGTGCGAGCATGGACATGCAGGTACATCAAGAGTTCACAAAATGGGCTGTAAATCAAGGTGTCATTATCAACAATGTTTCGCCTTTCCGGTTTCCAGAAAAGGGTCTGGGACTGATAGCGAACAAGAATTTTGAGGTAAAATAAATGAGCTGCTCGATGGAATATCACCCCTCTCGAAAAGTCATGTGCTTGCTAATCTGTAGTAGATAGGTGATACTCTGGTGCAGGTCCCCATAAAGACACTTCGTAAAGCTACGGATGTACCTTCTCAGTTTGCAGCGCTGGCACCTGAACTAGCTGTTCATGCTCTTTTCGCTCTATCTCTGGACTCGCTGCTCGGGCCGGAATGGAAAGTTACCCTCCCTTCCCAACAGGATATGCATAGTTCCATGCCTTTATTCTGGGATCCCTCATTACAAGAGCTTCTTCCGTACTCGGCCCGAGCTCTCCTTAAGACGCAAATGGAGAAAATTACTTCTGCTTGGACGATCATCTGCAAAGCATTTCCCGAACCACCCATAACCTACGATGAATTCATGTACAACTACAGTATTGTCAACAGTAGGACGTTCTACTACCTTTCACCGACCATCAAATCATCTAGATCACAACCACCACAAGAGAACCGTCTTGCATTGAATCCGTTCGCAGACTACATAAATCATAGTTCAGAACCCACGGTTGATGCAACTCTCAGTCGCGCTGGCTACACACGTAAGCAATATTATCCTTTTACTGTTATATCACTCATTCTCCCTATATCGTCACCCTAACCTCCATAATATGATCTGTGCAACAACTACACCTCTCCATGAAATCTTCGCCCAAACTCATTCCGCAGAAACATCAGCCATCGCTAACCCCCAACAACCTAGTCACGGCCTCGCAACCCATCAAGCAGGGCTCCGAAGTGCACATTTCATACGGAAGTCACAACAACGATTTTCTTCTCGTCGAGTATGGCTTCATACTCGACGACAACCGATGGGACGAGGTAACTCTGGATCCCTGGATAACACCATGGCTAAACGGAGAGCAAAAAGAGCACCTCGAAGAGATGGGGTTTCTCGGTAAATACCTCCTAGATCGAGACACCATATGTTATCGCACGCATGTAGTCCTCAGGATTATATGTCTACCGATAGGTAGATGGAAAAGATTCGTACAGGGATCTGAGGGCGAAGAGGTGTCTCAGGAGGCTGCGGATGAAGTTCTATTGAAAGTACTAATGGCTGGTAAGATGGAGATGATGGAAATAATCAAAAAAATAGACGAAAGCCAGGCAGGACTTGAAAGTCAAAGAAATACGTTGACCAGACGCTCGAACCAAATTGTTCTGTTGTTAAATAGAGCGTTAAATCGAATTGGAAGCTAAACTTCATGAATTTTAACTTTGCGTTGTATGATGGACTTCTGAGAAGCCCTCTCAAACCCACTGAATTATGGCATGAGGGTCTGGCTGTTCTATTGACGTTCATTCAATCAATGAGCCATGTTGCGTCTTGCAATAAACTTTAGTCGTCTTGGAAGAGCGAGTATCACTGACACTCGTAGCATCGTGCGAGATGGGTCAAAGGGGGTCAGTGCAACTACACAGAAAGTTGAGACTTAGTAAAAAGCAATCATCTGACAGCTCAAAATACATTCATCGTGTGAATCACACTTCTATGGTACATGTTTTATTTTGAAATACAAATTAAGAACTGAAAGTGCTCATTATTCCAAGTGTTAATTATGCCAGATCCCCGAGTTCAACGCCCTTTCCGTTATCTATACCTCATTCTGGTCTTGGTCTTTTGGCGCCGTGTGGATTCTGCCAGTCACCACCAGCACTTTGATTTTGTTGAAAGAACGCAGGATTAAAGTGCGGTTGCATAGGTTGGAAGCCATTCCCGCCTAATTTCTCGAGTCAGTGATAAATCCCGTAGTCCCTGTGTGGTGTTTGATTTCAGCTGATAAGTAGCTGTTTCGACGTACCTTGCATTGCACCACCCATTTGTGCCATATTACCCATGTTCATAGGCATTCCCATTCCGCCCATTCCACCCATTGGCATACCTCCCATGGGCATGCCTCCCATCATGTTATTTCCCATTCCCCCTCGACCGCCTCTCATACCTCCAGGGCCACCCCGCATGCCGCCCATCATGCCTCCACGATTGAATCCACCAAATTGATTTCCCATGGGATTTCCTTGAAACCCGCCACCCATTGAAGAATTAAAGCCCCCGCCCATGGATCCTCCTGAGCCTGAAAAGTTACGGTTGAAATTGCCTTGATTCATGTTGTTCATACCTCCACGAGAAGAGTTGTATCCACCGCCACGCCCGCGGAAATTACCACCAAAGTTGCCTGAAGTATGACTGCCCCTCTCACTGTTGTAACCTCCTGGTCCTGAGCTTGATCGACTATTTTGGCCTTCTTTCGTGGCGCGGGCTGGCGCGTCTTTCGGTAAGGTGCGGAATGGATTGACATTTGGATTGTGGAATGTGACTGTCTGCTTCTTCACATATTGGTGACCTTCACCGAAAGCGTCAATCTTTCGTTTCACTGCCGTTGCAGCTTGTTGGGACGTAAATTCCACATAGGCTTGTCTGTGCAAAAAGTCAGTAGATGCTCGGCATTGGAAGATACTGTGTGTAGTGAGTTACCCCTTGCTCTTTCCATTAACCTTGTGCTCGGAGAAAGTCATCTCCTTCAGCTCATCTTCGACTTGAGCCTGATTGATCCATCCCCGGATATCATCGTCGGTATTCCACCAATGTAATTCTGATATGAGCAAGGCCGTAGTCGCACCTTGATCGATTGGGCGATCGTCGGAGCCTTCCTTTCTCTTTACACCTTGTTGTTGAGGGGCCTGCTTGGGTATGTTGAGAATGTCTCGTCCAGATTCGTCGGTACTCTTTATCTTTTGTTGGCCTTCAGCGAGTTCATCCTTCTCATGACTAACCTTGATATCTACATAATCGTCATCTTGTTCTTCGTGTTTACCATTAGTTTCGGCAGCTGGTGCGACCGGAGGTTCAACGCCGTCAATCTTGACATCACCTTCATCATCTTTCTTGAAGATTGTGTCCTGTTCAGTGTTGGTATCTCCATAGATATCAATGTCGAACTCGTCATCAGCCATGGCGTCTGAATGTGCACACGAGGTACCTTGACTTTCAAGTGAAGGGTGAGTTTTGGTTGAAAAATGATGTTTTGTATTGCTTATGAACAGTTTGAGTTGATGTTATGCCACAGGAAAATGGATTCTGTGAGAAAATAGAAACAGGATCAGCGGGTGAAAACAGAAGAAGGGCCATTGGATGGCAGAGGTCAACGCATGTATAGCATTGGAAGCAGAGTCTGAAATACATGGGATAGAATTCAATGAATACGTACACTCCTAAAACCTGGAGGATATTGCTTCAATAAATGAGGTCAAAGTCCGAGAGCCTTCTTTGGCAACTACAGACAGAATGGAGATATAAGACGAAGCTCTGTGCTTGCAGTCTCTTTGAATTTGTGATGTAAAGAAGCCCAACAGATGAATAAACCTCCTATGCCGAAATATTGGAAGAGAGAGGCGAGGCAAAAAAAGTGTAATCCAGCCTGAAATTGAAAAGCAGAAATGAAGATGTCAGTTGTCCAAATGCCTTGTTCATCAATAGCAGAAGCACAGAGTAACCGAAGCCTTGCTGTACAATTCCGTCCCTCAAGTACCCTTCACGTCCAGTGTTTACTGATTTGCTTGTTTGGATTGGGTGGGTGTATTGAGTTGAGCGGTGGGTGATTGATTGAATGCGACAGAATTCTCGAGTCGACGTGAAGGTTCGCAATTGATATCTCTCGTTGGGACTCTGAGGTACGAGGATAGTGCTTGACAACTGTAAGTCGAGTCGAGTGTGTGGGTGGTACTTTTGTTCACCATGAAATGAAAATGGATTCTGGAGGCAGGAAGTATCTATTGCTGTCACAGGTATTATCGAATTATATGGAAAGAAAGTTGTGCTGGGAGAGTTCCATACAATATTCCAATGTTAGGCGCGGTATCGCGATGAGCTGAAATCCTAGTAGCTCGAGGGATCGATAATGGAGATACGAGGTGGGTATTTGAGGAAGTAAAGATCAGCGATTGAGAAAGGGCATGGAAAAGAAAGAAGAAAGGAAGTTTGGGCACTTTATACGTCGTTGTCGATGAGGATGACAATAGCGACGACAATAGAGAGAGAGTTGAGGGAAGGGAAAGTTGGAATTCTTTCTTTGATTCTTTCTTTCTTCTCCTCTACGATTGGATTTCGCGCGCCGCTGAGCTTCAAATACCTTTTTAATGCCCAGTGCTAATTTGGTACCAGGAGCCAGGCAAGGTGCTGGTGCTGGTGCTAACTAATAAAACCACTGTTCCCTGCCCATGGCCGATGGTCTTAGGTAATCATTAAGTAATCAATCTCATTGATGCCTAAGGCATAACACTCGCAGCCTCATGCCTCCAGCTACTACCCAGTGGCTTTCGGATTTTGAAGGTTCTCATTGGATCAATTCACATGCTTTAATTTCTTGAGCCTACCTACCTTATCTGGCTTCTTCGAAATTCCCCCAGCTACCTAATATCTATTGGCTTCACTCGCAACGGAATTTAAAATCTTTCTCAATCATACATACCATACCATACACTTTCAAACTATCCAACATTGAAACGTCGGCCACAAATTAGTTCTTCAACAAAAGTATAATTCGAACCTCTCGAGGATCAATTGTCTACTTCCTCAATCCCACCCTCAACTCCTCAACTTCTTCACAACCATGGCAGACCAAATTCAAGAGTTTATGGAGATTCCAAGAGACTTCATCAAAGATGGTACTCAATTTGTCAATAAATGCACAAAGCGTAAGAATCAGTATTTTCCATTGGTTACAACGGGACTTGAGTTTCTAACATATTATAGCTGATCGTCGCGAATTCCTCAACATCGCTCGAGCTGTAGCGATGGGATTCCTTATTATGGGAGCCGTTGGATACATCGTAAAATTGATCCATATACCACTCAACAACATATTGGTCGGTGGCGCATAGTTTGGGGATGGGCAACGGACGATGATTTCTACACTACGGTGACTTGGTCGTTTGTGGGAAAGGGGAGCATTGAACCTGCACCGAACGAGGGTGAGATGGACGAGCTGTTGGCGTATAAATGGATGGAGTTTCTCACAAAATCTAAGGATGTATTATATTTGGCCTTGGTGGCAGTTACTGTTCCTGGCATTGCTTGCGTCTGGAACAAATGGTCCAAGTTGAATGGGACTATATTAAATAATATCCCGCACATTGTCAAAACAGCCACTGTATGTTGTGAGACTTTTTCCTTGAGAACAACGGTGGATAAAAGTTGGAATGGCGGTTGGAGTGATGCTTTACATCATCCCGGAATCATGTTGGATTTAAATCACTGGCGATGCGTTCGGATTGGAAAACCACTTCAAACCCAAGTAGGTATGAATGTATCAGGAAATGCCTTACCATGAGTGGATAAGCTGGCAATAGATATGAATTATCGATACTCTATTTACCATGAAGCCAAAGTATAGTGTTAGCTTGGAGTCTGAAGACTTACAACGCCTCTTTCCAACTTCATCTCTGACGCTTAGCTCCATAACGAGATGATTGAAGGTGCGCTCCAAAAGATGAAAGGGGAATGAGCAGAAGAAGCGCATAATGGGGTCACTACCAACTGGTGTGTCCAGTACAGGGATGCCACATTACTCCATCAGTAATCCATCATTTGATGGAGTAATGTTTACTAGTTTGTCAGAAGCTATTGAGGTGGTGGGTTGAGAAAACATGAACAGCAAGATGTAAGAATGTAAGGGAGTGCAACAATGGTGACTTGGGGTATAAAACAGATGTTGAATGGTAGAGAAAGGTAAATAAGTAGATGACAATGCTAGGGGGTGGATGCTTGATACCAAAATCGAGGAGAGCAGATCAAGTCCATAGTTAAGCTAGTTATTGCTAGCGCGAGATGTATTGAAAAGACAAACTGGACGATAGTATAGCGTTATACTCGTTATGGTCGAGTGCGATTATTCAGAGAATACCCAAGCTCGAGCTCAGATATTCAGTTGTACTGGATGACATGAAAGCATGAGAATATCTTCTCAAAATATATTCTGATGATTCATTTCAAGAATATATGTCAAAAACGTCTTCATCATCGGATTTAAATGGATTTAAGTACATGTGATAAGAAACTCCGAGGCACTGATAAGAATAATGACCCTCTTTCCACTACTCCACCCCACTGACAAAGCATCCTCACCTCATGATATCACTACACTTTCCCTTCTACCAATACATTTGGAGCAGCAAGCTTCAATTCTGATATATGTCTGATACATGCAACATTATTATACCAGTTACTGATACTAGTTAACGGGTGATGAACGTCACTCGCTGTCATTCAACTCCCAAGAAACCTAGATCCATCTAAAATGAACTTGAAGTGCAACAAGTAGTGCATTGTTGTGGAATACCTACCTCTCTCTCTTTGCCACCTACGTTGTTCACTACCCCATACAATACTACTGAAAATTTCTTGTTTGTTGTTTTGCTCCGAAGAAGCATTGGAAAGTAGGCGTGTCAATCTACTCGTACTCTACTATTCTCAATGGCTTCCCAGAGAAGCGTATCAGGTGCCTTACCGCCAGATAATCCCATGGCCGGGAATGGAGAGGGAGATGATTCAAATCTTATAGTAGAAGATAGAGACGACGAAGAAGAGGAAGAAGATGCAGATGATGATTATGCCGACGAGCAGGATGAGGATGATGAGATTGATGATGATGACGAAGACGACGACGATGACGATGAAGTTGGTTTTGGTAAGTCTAGACTATCATTGCATTTGAAACTCTCCTAGTCAAGTTTTACTGACATATATCGCCCATCTTTCAGATGTGCAAGTTGAAATTGAGGACGATGAAGACGAAGGTGCCACCGCAGTCGATCATAGTGAGATCTACACATCCTTCACCTTGTTCCAGACCATCTGGCTTATACTCCGATTCCATTTAGCTACCCGAACAAGATATCTTCTACGGGTGTTGGCCGCCCACCCAGATGTTCGAAATATTATACGCTTTACCACTGACCTCGACGAGGACGAGCTCGCTTTGTGGCCACGAAGGCGTAGGAGAAGTACACCCGATCCAAATAGGTTCCCTAAAGTGCCAAGCATTGTTGGGGAAGAACTAATGGCGTCGGGTGATTTTGGATCCAATGATGCACAAACTCCAGGCAGAGATGATCATATTAGGGGCCGAAAGCGTTTGGCAAGAAGAATATTAGACCGCGAAATAGCATCAGGGAACTTTGCAGCCCAGGTGATAAATCGGAAAACAATGGCACAAGTGAGCAACACACAGGCAGGCTTATTTCTAGGCAGTAAACTAATAGAATCCCAGGAAATGTTACCATCTTCGAATGCCGATACCATAATCAATTACGATGAGCCCGTTTATTCAGGTCAATTTTCGGATGACGGTAACTTCTTCTTTGCCGTCACCAAGGATTTCAAAGTCCGCATGTATGATACATCCAACCCTTATAAGTGGCGGTACTATAAGACTGTAAGCTACCCTTATGGGCAATGTAAGTACAAGCTTTTCGTATTATGGCTTATTTCGGTCCCAACACATGATCCATCCGCGTCTTCGTCAATTCCCATTGAGCCCGTAGAGTAACTCAAGTATTGACAGTCATTAGGGACCCTTACTGATGCTTCACTGAGCCCTGACAACAAATATCTCGCTTACACCTCCATACGTAGCACTGTTTGTCTCGCTCCGACAGATCCAAATGATATGGGAGATCCCTATAATCTGGAGCTCGGTGATCCTGCCACTAGTTTCCGAAATCCTAGGCTCGATCGACGAGGGTCATTTGGTATTTGGTCGATTCGATTTTCTGGTGACGGACGTGAGCTTGTCGCTGGAACCACAGGCGGTTCCATTGTTGTATATGACATAGAAAGTCGTCGTCCACTTCATAGGATATTTGGGCATGATGAAGATGTCAATGCAGTATGTTTTGCCGACAAGTCATCGCCTCACATTCTTTACTCTGGATCAGATGATACAACTATCAAGGTGTGGGATACCAGGAGTATGGGCGATAGTCGAGAAGCGGGTGCATTTATTGGTCACATTGAGGGATTAACGTATCTCGATAGCAAAGGAGACGGTCGTAAGTTTTTGATTCGTGGTTGTTCAAGAACGGTGCACTAAAACATTGAAGGCTATATCCTCAGCAATGGTAAGGACCAGAGCATGAAGCTATGGGACTTGCGTATGGTCATGAGTTCGGCTCAATTTTCCAACATCAGGGCAAATGAACGTCGCCCCGGAACAAACTTTGATTATCGATGGGGACGTTATGATGAAGATGATTGGTACCACGATAAAAATGATAATTCTTTGGTCACATTCAGAGGCCATAGGGTAATGCGGACTCTGATTAGATGTCATTTCTCTCCGCCTGGAAGTACTAATTCAAGATATGTCTATTCTGGAAGTGAAGACGGGAAAGTGTACATATGGAATATGGATGCAACGCTTGCGGGCAAAGTCGATGTTTTCCAGGCAACAAAGAATACAAGGCCGCCCCCACCAGGTCAATGGCACGGGGGGTGGCATGGAGGATGGCGTGACGATATAGATGAAGTAAATAGTCCGAGGTGGAAAACAGTAGTTAGAGATGCTAGTTGGCATCCCACTGCTCCCATGATCGCTGGTAGGTCCACCTATTCCAATACTAATTCTTTTCGGCTAACAAATTTCAGCATCTGCGTGGAACGGTTATGGTACTGAGCAGGGCACCGTCACTACCCATTCTTGGAATGAGGGTGCTGAAGACGATGAAGCCGAACCTAAAATGGGATTAAGGGTAAATGCGAAGTTAGAACATGATTCTCACCTTTACCCAGCCCACTCAGGCCGCAACGAAAGAATTCGAAATCTCAACAGTCTCTTGCCGAATGCTGATGACGATGAAAACGACGATGACGATTAGGGCATATTCAGGAGGGAATTCACAGTTTGTAGTGCTGGGCGATATACTGTAAGGAGTCGTTGGGTGTCGATGTATTAGACTTCTTTCAGAATTTTCCAACATCATAAATCCTGCCATCTTTGAAACTTGGAGCTATTCACAATGGTATCTAGTTGTAGAAGTGCTTCAATATTCGTATAAAACCACATGAAAGCTGCAAAAGTATCACTGTACAACGTGTGCCCCATCGTGCGTGCATAGTTAGTGTGAGCTCGATATTTTAAAGTTGTAGATACTTGTGATACTAATATAGAGGAGCCGCTGATAGACTGGTCTATGCCGATTACGCTTGCTGCCCGCACCATTCCCGGGCGACATTTTCAAATCATGGTCTATAAGGATCGGGAAGACAAGTTATCTATTATTGTAATTTGGCATTTTGTGAAATGAGGAATCACGATGCAACACTCGTCTCTCGGTGTCCGTACTATCTAAAACAGCAGTCGTATGCACACGGGGTGGAAGTGGATGGGCAAGTATAATGAGCCATGGAAAACTCGTGGGCCTACTTAAAAGGATTACAAGTCGGTCATTGTGGCTGGGATTCGCGTTAATTTATTCTTTTCTTTTGATGAAGCCTCTTGGCCGGTCACGGTGTCCATTGGTTTTGGTCTTCCAGTAATCGAGAGATGTCCATCTCTCCAATATAAGGGAATGGGGGCGGAGGCCAATCAAAAGACTGTGAGAATGACAAGCTGTCTGTAGGTTCTGCGGTAGGCTATCTGGTGTTAATAGAAGAATGTTAAGTGGGAAACTGGGAAAAGATGGATGGTAACTGTACCTTTAATATCTCATGATTCAAAGCAAATGTAGTTGAATCGATTGTAGCGTGATTAGATGTGTTAGACAGGTCCTCAACCTGTGTAGGCTTGCTCTGAGACTGTGATGCTGTCCGAGTAGTATCGTCCTCCCCGGATCTAAACAGTTCGGGATGCTTGTTCCTGAGGCGATCTCTAAGATCAGTAGGCTGTCGGTCCTGAAGGTTGAATTGAGGATCTCTCTGTATTCTTGTCCACGCAGGCCCATAAATATTATAACCTTCTCTAATTTCACGATCGTCTTGGTTGGAGAAGGGTCGTTTCTTCCTCCGATCTGACTGTTTGAATGGCGCCTTTATTCCTAACTCTTGAAGGGATGTGAGATTTCTCCGATGGTTTCGAGGCTTTCGCCCAGGATTAGAGCCAGAGTTTGACAAAGTCTCATCAGCCTCTTGATCTTCACCAGTCATGAAATTTCCGGTCAATGGGTCGAAAGTTACCAATTCCGTTTTTGACTGTGCTTTTGCACTCTCTGCCTTGGTACCAGTATGATAGTTTCCAGAATTGCGGCTTCCGGCTCTGAGTTCTTCTGGACAACAAGTTCTAAAGCGATCTTTCAGGTCTACTCCTGACCTATTGTTGAAAGTGAACTTCGGATCTTCTAATATATCCATCCACTTCCCCACGCCATACTTATCCACACCAAGCAGCAGGTTGTTCGTCTCGTCTTCGGACCACTTTTTCCTCGTCTTTACGTCTTTTCTCTTTTTCTTCGTACTCGCCTTCTGGCCCAAGACTTCCTGGGTCGTTGCTACGATCACACCATCTGTCTTTAAATCCTCCCTCATTTCTGTGACTTTGGGAGCCAAAGCATTCAAGGTATTTCTCCCATGACTATCGTGAAATGAGCTTGATGCAATAGGCGGGAACAATGCAGCCTGAGGGGGCGGTTCATGTAAGCCGATGATGATAGGTGGCACCACTTGTTTATTTGATCTTTGCTTTTTGGGTGGTCTAGGCAATTGAACAAACTCATCACTCCCATTTTCCCTATGTTGTTGCTTTTTGGGATGTAGTGGTCTTGCGTTGCCAGTGTTGTCATCTAAAATCTTTCGCAGAGATTGCGGAGAAGAACTACCCAATGTTCGTTCAATTGCACTAATGTCCTTTCCTATACCCGCATTCCCTATTCGCAAACCCTCTTCTGAGTCTCGATAATTGACTTCATTGTCGTCAAGTGGAGCAATGGACGAGGAATGCTGCGATACTTGTGATGATGGCTCACCAGATCGTGTTCCAGCATTGGGTTCTAAAACAAGCGGTCGGTGAGAAGTTTGCAGAATGTTTCGATCGTGCAATGGAGGAAGTTCTAAAGAGGGGGAGTTTGTGATGGCTTCAGATGCATCGTTATTAAGAATAGACATTAAATGGGGCTCAATAGTTGTACGCATTATGTTGTCATGGATCCGACATATTGTGAAGACGTTAAAATTGGTAATTTTTCTCTTGTATGATGATGAATGGGTATGTAGACAACACAAAAGAAATTGCCCCAGAAACAAGAGTCAAGAGTCAAGAACAGAAGAATAGAAGAATAGAAGAATAGAGGAATGAAAGAATGAAAGGATGAAACAAGGAAGGAAGTAGGTAAAGTAGTAGATTATTGATAGATATATGAAATGATATAATTATGATGTATGTATGATGTGAACTTTATCAATAAGTTTCAATGACCTGGTGGACTTTTCAAACTAGTTCGTTCTAGATGATGGACCTCACCAATCACACATAATTACTAAGAATAAAGTTTCCCGCACGTTACTAGTGGATGAAAATCAATACTACTTTGTTGGAGTTAATACTATAATAAATTACTTATTTATTAAAAAGTCATTACAACATACGATTTTAGATTATATTATATTTTTAACTTATCATTAAGGAATATTTAGCTATTAAAGAAAGAAAAAATAAATTCTCTATATAGTTATCGTTAATATAAAAGTATAGAGAGAAGTCTTTAATATTAATGATATTATACGAGTATAAATCAAAAGATTCCTTCATATCAATTTTAGTATAATCATGAATAGATTATCTATTCCGTTCAAGTAAGAATAATTCAAAATCTCGTATTATTTATTAGTGAATTCGAATAGAGCTTAGATAACCCCTTCCCTCTACTTCCAATCACACCGACTCTCAGCCTCCTTCAATCAAAATATTCACTAAATTATTATACAGCTCCATTACTTCTAGACCTTCAAACTTAACCTGCTTCAATGGATACTCTTCACCATCACAAGCTGCAAAAGTACAGAGCAGCTTCGGTATACGACTACATCTGAAAGGATAATCTTAACATAGGTACTGACACGGTCCTACTTTATCTACAAAAATATTTCAACATTGATACATCACCATATCTGTACAGCAATCAATAAACATGGCTTCGATCTTGCCCCTCTTCCCAAAGTTTGTCTTCACAGTCTTGGAGCCTATTTCACTGTAAGTTTGTATTTGACATTTGCAATGTTGACATCAACATACTGATTAGGACATAGTTTAGCTGCTTTTATAGTTGCAATGATTTCCCCAGAGTGGTTTATTCAGGAGCAGGTTGTAATTTCGCGTCACCTACCTATTAGTGATAATGCACGGGCTGTTGCGCTACAACTAGGCATGGTATATCTTCTGATGGCCATGGTAGAAATCGCCATTCTTAGCGGTACGCAGGAGTCGAAAGTCGTTAGGAACTATCTCTTTGCTTGTTGGTTGGGTGATATTGGTCATTTTGTTGTTACCTACCGTGTCTTGGGATGGGAAAGGGTCGGAAATGTCACTCAATGGAATTCAATGACTTTTGGAAATATAGGAGTAACGGTAAGACCACTCTCAATCTGTACTTTTCATGCGGTGGAATTCGATGTCTAACATGTAGCAGGTATTCTTGTTCTTGACACGTTCGGCCTATCTTCTTGGCCTGTTCGGCCCACACAAGAAAGGTGCCGCAAAGCTTGCTTGAGATGAGACCATTTGGAATGAGCCCCGAGGCTTAAGGAAAGAATACAAGCATGATATGGTCAGCCCATGAGTCGTTCCACCATTAGTCGACTGGCGAATACATCGATTTGATTTGGGCAACATTACAAGAGGAACTTTCCGCTAATGCTCGTTGGACCGTAATCAGCCATATAAATGGATACTCAATAACAACTTTATATCTTGACGCCGTGTTCTGTACTACTAAATGATTTCAATGCTTATCCGTGAACATACTGTAATGATTGCTCATGAGTATGTAAAACAAAGAGGCGGTGCTGCTAGAAGAGCTCAACTTGAAACGTTCATTACTGACGACATACGTGCCCTATCTACAAATACAGGCCGGACCAATAGCTAACTATGTGTGTCGTGTTACAATTCACGCCACAATAGTAAAATCGAAGATTGAAGAAGATGATGGCTAATGCCTCAGAGTATTTTATGACCAATGTGCGTGACTGTTATGAACAGTAGAGTATCTCACACAGATCAATCTTCCCTGTCACCATCATCCCTTCGAGGCTCGAAGTTAAGCTGTTGCAATTTTCAGCATGGTGTGTGCAATGTAAACTTGGCAAAACTTACAGTATTTCCATTGTACAACTCATGATGGTTGTCATTATGATTCTGATCTCTAAGAGTTCTTAGATTTGACGCACGGCCACCTCCTACTGATGCATTAGGTCCAGCCATCTGTTCTGTATTCGATGCAGCAGCCGAACCACCAACAATGCTACCAAGAGTAGCCATTACCCTATTGACACCCCAGGCGCCGAGGCCGTATCCAGCAGCAATTCCTCTAGATAAGATGCCACTTGATTCTGTTGCTTCATAAGCCGAAGTATACGTTGGAACCGGAACAATGATAAGTCTGTTGCCTCCATATTAGTGTCAAAGAGTATCGATCAAGACTATATAGGCCTAAGTGAAATGTTACTCACGTAGCGCTTGGAAACAGACCTAACGATGCTATGGGTTGACTTTCATCGGTCATTGAGAGGGTTTTGTTTGGCAAAGGCGTACAAACGTGCTTGAATATATAAGGCACGTCGTCCTTTTGTTGACTATCAATCCACTAGTCATCGTCAGCATTGCCATTTATTGTCTTCAGGTACATAAAAGTTGTTGATGATGCAGTTTTTCAATACCCTAGGAAAATATCATTGGTGCTTTAATGGACTTCTTCACATTACCTTTCTCACGTCACCACTTAGGGTACTGGTGCTAGAGAATCTCGAACGTATGGAAGATCCATCAAAAAGTCTGATCTGAAGGGCACAATCCTGTGCCTTTGACACCGGGGTTGGTATGGATGTGTCCTTGTCGCTGGATGCCATTGGCTGTTCTGTGGAGTGATTACTACGACTAGACTTGCGTCCTGCATCGTTTCGTCTTCTTGCTTTGTCACTCTCAACGAGTGCAAGAATGCGCGCTCGCTCTTCTCTAGCCTCTTGCTGACGCTTCTTTTGAATCGCAGCATAACTAACGGTTTCCGCCGCTTGAGATGGGTTTCTAGAGTGATCTTCCGCAGTGGCCTTTGAATCTTCAGGTAGTTTGCCTTTGGGGTCTCTAGGAAGAGAGCTCGAGCTCGGTTGCCCAGTAGCATTATTACGAATTGATTGTAAAACGGACGTAGAACCGTTGTTCGGATTACCAGTGGGTGAAACACCCGATGATTGGCCTTCGGTCGTACGTCGTTCTGGATTCTCCAAGGTTCGCGTTCCATTTGGTGAAATAGGGCGGTCATTCTCGACATTCCTCTGGTTAGATGTAGATTCCAAGGCTTTCTTGAATCGTGTCAAAAAGTCGTCTTTGGTTATGCCTGCACTTAAATATTCTTTGAGTTCTCCATTCCTGTGGGCCCAAAGGTCAGCACTCCCAGCACATTTTTTTACTGCCTGCAGGCAACCGTAGAAGAAATAGAAAGGCCAAATAAAATTGAAGCAAAAGAAGTAGACGCATGACTGTGTAAGGGGAAAGCGTGACTATTCGCGAATCCATGCAACTTCAACATGAACAGAAAGACGCATTTTGTTACACTTGAACATTTGAGATAAAGCACCATCGTTAAGAATGCACGATTGATTTATGCCCCATACTTATAAAATCTGCCCCGTCCGTGTGCATCAAGATATACCGAATGAAAGAAAGAGTTAATCGTGCTCACCAAATAGCAACAAGAGTTGGAGCTTTTGGAATAGGAAAGATTGCAGCGAGATAGTTGGCTTCTTCAGAACCAGCACTGAGGCGCAGCAAAACTGTTCTTTCTTGTAGGTGAGAACTTAACTAGACAACGATTTAGCATCTAGCAAGAGGGGTTCACCATTCTCAAATTACCTCGGAATCTCGCAAGAAATCATCTTCCCAGAGTCTGCTTTCTTCATTGCCATCTATTGGGCACGTGGTCATTACATCGATCGAATGAAAACGTGAGAGGAATGGTATTTACTCGTTACGAAACATGCAACAAGTTTAGATTCCGCTAAAGCCTTGCTGATCCCGCTATTGATATCACCGGTGTAAAACATTGCCGCCGCTGTCATATACCGAAATCGCTAAACAATATATTTCTTGGATGACTTTGCAGAAGTGGGGAGGTATATCGATTTCCTGCGTCAATATGGAGACCGTGTTATGAAGACCGACTCTAGCTATGAGGGCGAAAAATGTAAACAGGTATGGTTATCTGGCGTGAGCAAGTCAATGGATCGTTGAGGGGAAGTACAAATAGTTGATTTCTTTACTGTAGTGACCTTGATTGTAAGTCAATGGAACAGTGTAAATGTCACCTGGTATTCAAGATGTTTATGAGGGTAGATATAATTGCTTCAATCCTAGACGATATGATGTGGTATGATATCTTGATGGAAAGAGTTGTGGTGACAGAGTGAATAGATGTTCTAGATGGATTCTGGGTACTGGTAGACTGGTAGCCCTGGAGGCGTTTGATACCCTTCAAATTACCTATGCAACCGGGCCTCCCCGCCATGGATCACAAAGGTTCAGGTGGCTTGTGTGGCGAGTGTGGCTGATAACCGCTCAAACAAGTACCCCGGCCCTCCTACGTAGGTAATCAGACAATTTCAAAAAATAGTCTTGCACGTGCACGACATACCTTATGTTGCGATAAAAGAGCTGGAGAGAATATAATACTTATACTTGTAGCTACCTAGTGGAATCTGCTAGAGTAATAACATCGAAGGAATCCCTAGCATATTGACGTTGTTTATACACTTCATGCGTCAATCGTATTAAATATGCGTCCCCCTGTCTCAGCTCTATCTTACAATCGTATCAATACGTTTTCATCTCATACTAGGAGGATAACTTTTCCCTTCCAATCCCCAAAATGCCCAAGAAATCATCGATGTTTCGCAGGAACCCGCGTCAAGTCCAGACAGGCTGCTGATGATCCCAATTTCACATCTATTATAGACAATCCCCCGAACTTGGTGCGCACAGGAAGAAGGCATGGGCCTGGTCTTATTATTCTAGGTAAGTCACGAGCTGCCCAACTTTTCTTGCCTAGAAGACTGTCTAATATACATGATATAAATAGCTTTGATTCCTCTAACAGCTTTCGCCTTGGGGACATGGCAAGTGCAACGTTTGGATTGGAAATCAAAGCTCATTGCAAAATTTGAGGATCGCCTCGTTCGTGATCCTTTACCACTTCCCCCACACATTGATCCTTCGGCAATCAAAGAATTCGACTATAGGAGAATCTTTGCGACTGGTCACTTTAGACACGATCAAGAAATGCTGATTGGCCCTCGATTGCATGATGGGAAAGACGGATATCTCGTCATTACTCCTTTGGAGCGAGATGGTAAGGGCACTAGTGTTCTTGTAAACCGGGGTTGGATCGAAAAGAAATATAAGAAGCAAACAAGTAGGCCTGATGGGTTGCCTCAAGGTGAGGTAACGGTCGAGGGATTGTTGCGGGAACCTTGGAAGAAGAATTATTTCACGCCAGATAATAGTCCACAGACTCAGGAATTTTACTTTCCTGACGTCGAGCAAATGGCTAAGTTGACAGGAAGTCAACCTGTTTGGATTGAAGAAACAATGGGTAAGATGGTATTTTCATTATTTTTCGAGTGCCACAAAGCTTACAAAACCACAGAACCTGACCTCTTGATGGCTTGGGATCGCGCTGCACGTGGGATTCCAATAGGAAGACCGGCAGAAGTCAATCTCCGAAACAACCACACACAGTACATATTTACATGGTAGGTACTTCTAACGATTAGCGAAAAAGTTAAATACATCCTGTCGTCATGTGTGCTAACGCTATAATTTGACAGGTACGCCTTGGCTGCTGCTACGTCAGTTATGCTATGGATGGTTGTAAAGAAACCATCTGCAGACATCGCTCGACGAGTTCGTCAAAATAAAGAATGGTCTTGAGGATAGCGCGTGTTTTACCTCATTTTCTGGGTGGTTTTGGTCGGGGCCGGTCTTTCGAAATCAAGGGGGGAACCATTCTTACGTCTTGTAAGAGCTCTCTAGGCAAGCGACTTTGTGCAAGTGAAAATGGCGTTGTTGTAGCATTGGTTTGGCGTTGTCTGTAAAACACTCAGCACGTATCAAGACTCTAGTCATGTTTAGATAAATACCTTCTCATCAACATTAAAACATCACTCTCATCAATTGTTTTGCGTCCGGCATGTTCAGAGTATGTGCTTAAATCGTCACTAATCTGTTCGAAGAACCAGTCGGTTGCTTGCATGATCGCATCAAGAGCATCCCCACTCAGCTTGTCTCCTTTGCCGGCTCCAATCCTTGCCAGGCTGATTGCATGTTTCTTCACTACACCTAGAGGTAATGATTTGTATTTCAACCCATGTTTTGAAACCTTGTTAACCTTCTTCTGGAATGTCCTCTTAGAATTTTCTGATATCGCCTTTTGAACGGATACTGTAAGGGGTTCGTCATCACTAAGACGGGAGTCCTCGAACGCTCCTATCGACAGTCTTCGAGTGCCATCTTCACCGTCTATGGCTTCATCGTCCATTATAAGATCCGACAGTCTTCGAGTGTCACTCTCACCATTCATGGCTTCATCGTCCGTTACAAGATCCGACAGTCTTCGAGTGTCACTCTCACCATTCATGGCTTCATCATCCATTTCAAAATCATCTCCTTGAAAATTGGCAGGAGGGGAAGAAATTTCGTCCATAATAGGCATCGCAGTTGAAGTATCTTCTGGTGATGGCGAAGGTTCAAATTGCGCTGGTATTTCGGGCTGCGGAACTGTGAACACAAAAGTCGCATCCCTTTCCTCGGACGGTGAATTGTATGGTCTGATATCACTACTTCGCCCTGGTAGAAGAGACCGGCGATGCAACGCGGTTTCCAATTCTCCCTGTAATCCTGCGCGATCACTAGCTTGCGTCAGCTCAATGGGCCTGTTTGAATGTAGGCTCCTGGACTTACCTTCCGAAAAATGGAGAGTTAGCCATCTCTCGAAAATCATCATTCTCAAAATCATTTGCATTGAAGAAGCTTGTTTCCATTTCATCTCGTCCAAAGTCTGCTTCGTCCAAGTTTCCGAACTGATCGCTTCCACGGATGCTCCCGAAACTACCCCTCGAGAACAGCCTGCTCGGTCTCTCAGTGACAGCTCTCCTTGAAAGCTCGATAGATCGCGTGGTCAGATTTTCGTCCTCTAAAGCCGCCAAACTAGGAAGCAAAAGACTTTCGTCATCCTCATTATCATCTTCGTCATTGTCGTCATCTAGGGGGATGGAAAGTCGTGGGGGCACAAGGTTCGGACCGTCGTCAAAGTCGTCATCCAAAAGTAAAGTCTGTCTTCTGGAGTTGCTGGGTGCTCTTTGAGGAGATGGAATTGTCGGACGGGTTTGAGGAGCTAAAGTCCTGCTCAATAATCGCAATACATCTCGAGGTGTTTCCCTTTGCTGTCTACCACTTCGTCTTCTATCCTTCCCTGGAGTCAATCCTGCTCGTCGAGCCTCAACTTCTCGCAAAGCTGCTCTCCCATGGGGTGTCAGAGTCTTGGTCCTGAATTCTGAGCCACCTAACCTTGAGCCACGACTGGGCGTTCTCGAATAGCTTGCGTCTGTTGGAGATAGTCCAGCAGTAGAAGTGCGGCGCAAAGGAGTTTCTGGTCTTCCACTCATAGCAATGTATATCTTCTATTGGCAAATAGATAAAATGTTAATTACTATGCTTTGTCGTTTTCCTGGTAAAGATTAATTTCGATTTGACGGACAAATTTATTCTGTTGCAAAGTAAATCTAACATGTACTTATTAGTGGAAATTTCATAGTGTTGAGTTAAACATCAATGATCGAAATATCAATGTTTAGATAAGACGCGTCCAGAACAGTAATTGTAGTATTGTACGCGCGAACCTTATCTTATCTTAGCGTTAGCGATATGCAATACAATTGTGGATCCGCAAGGCTTTAAATTATTTTATGAAGAACTTCGATTGAAAAAGGCTGAGAAAGAGAAATAGGAAGAGAAAGAGAAAGCAATTAATAAGTTCTTTGTATGCTACAACCAGGATCAGAATCATAATTGTCAAAGTCAAAATTTTGTCCGCATAGGAACCTAAGTAGGATCTTTCGCGCAAAACTTCACAGCAATTCCTACTACGAAAGTCTTCGAGTCGGCGCCGACTTGAGCTCACACTATCACAATGTCAATTGAAAATGAACTCCAGGATCCTCTGATTGAAGAAGTGAGAGCTCCAACGACCGGATCTGGACCTGGCACTTCCAATAAAACAGCTTCGAAGAAAAGAAAGCGTGGAGGAAATCATGATCAAGAGGGGCCCAAGGAAAAGATTAACGAAGGTGCGAAAAGGAAGAAGCATTCCTCATTTAATGATGAGGATATCGATCTCGAGGCTGGTCTCAACAACGCAATTGCAAAGATGAACGATCATTTGATAGTTGATTATGTCGCAAGCCAAACAAGAAGATTCGAAAGTGATCTTAGTTCCGTTGAATTAGAAGATCGATACATACCAGGTGAACAGAACCTACCCTTAAATATGCTATGAACTTGGCTAATGTATTGGCATGTAATAGTCTCTGCTGTTCAGGACACTACATCATGGACAAAGCCACGAAATCTCGATAATTTACCAGAGTTTTTGGAGAAATTTTCTGACAATACAACAAAACTTTGGTCAGCGTCAAAGAAGAATGGATCACCACACACAATCATTGTTACTGCTGCAGGCCTCAGGGCAGCCGATCTTGCTAGGTATAGTCACTTTCCTGTTATGATTGGGCTTGGCAGTATGTATGTGTATGCATGTTCTCATCTGACAACTTTATAGAGCGGTACGAAAATTTCAGACCAAAGATGTGAAAGTTGCAAAGTTATTTGCAAAGCACATCAAGCTCAAGGACTCCATTGGATTTCTAAAATCTTCAAGGACCGGAATCGCTGTCGGTACACCTCAGAGATTGAAGGATTTGATGGATGAAGGTTCGCTCGCGGTCGATAGGTTGGAGAGAATTGTGATCGATGCCTCTCATATTGATCAGAAGAAGAGGGGTATACTTGAAATGAAAGAGACGCAGATCCCTTTAACAACTTGGCTAGGCCAGAAACCATTCAGGGAGAGATATGAAGGCTCCACGGATAAGTTACAGATTCTATTTTATTGACTGCAATTGTCAATTCCTTTCATAAATTTTCAAAATAGAACTTTTAATAAAAGTAGATAATCATAATCAGAGGAAGGTGCAAATGTCCGATGCAGCTTTGGCGTGATGTAGCAAGTCCGTGTTGCATGATTACTCGAGGAGGAAGGTCTGACCAAATAAGAGCTGCTAGTATGAAGCTTTCCTGCTTCTCTCATTTTTGGTCCTCTTCTTATTCGTTCTAGTCTACGTATCTCAACACAACAACTTCTCCTCCGGCCGTTTCCACACACTCATTGAACCCGTTTTCTTGATAAAACGATTCCTAACAAAAGTGCCTACTCGCAACGTTCCAGGGTCATTTGGCGACCATCCTATGATTGTGGGACCAAGTGTGTCCGAACTACTACGTATATCATGAGGCGTGCCATCTTGCTATTAGCCGTGGCAATGGTGAACAATCCCGCTACAAGTGACGGGAATTTTCCTGCTCCCGGTAAAGATGTTTCTTTGGAGATTCAGGCGTACCACATTAACAGTTATTTGCAGGTTGTGCAGTGCGGTGTTGGGAAAACACAAAATATGCCAGCAAATGTGTGGACAAAAACACATGTCTTTGCCAAGATGCGGAATATCATAACGTTGGTCATACCATAGCTTTGCCCTGTCGTTGCTTCTAATGCTCAACGCCATACGCTGACTGATTTACTGCAGTCCGTCTTCAAATGCATATATTCCCAATGCGATACTGCACATTTTGGTTCCGCGTTACATCATACAATTACTCGATGCGTTGGCGTTGCCGACAACATCATTCTAGCCGTACCTCGGCTTTCAAATCACGATTCCTTGCGCCGAAGAGAAGCTGAATATCTTCAAGGTGTCAAGATAGAAGACTCGCAGTCAATTGCGGGATATCCAACACTTAGCGGACTTCAGATTCAAAGTGCTCTCCCATTTGCATCTGCAGTAACCTTTTCATCGCTTCCACCCATGGTGCACCTCACGAGAGACACTGTGGCAGCATCAGTGACAACATCCGCCACAGCGCCTTTTGATTTGATTCACACAACCTATAATACTGCCCCGGAACTCGTCACGGCCAGTCCCCTTCTTTATACTGGAGACGCCTTTAAAATACTACCAAGCATAGGGTTCCCTTTCCTGGCTCCCATTTTAGGATTATACTTGGCTGTTTGATAGCCAGATGCAAGTTGACGGAAATTTCTGGATCTCAACGGAAGGGCGCGTGGGACGACTTTCAAATAGTGTGAAGTGACAAGGGTGGATACATACATAACATGATCCATCAGTATTTGATATTACATCCATGTATTTTTGCCTCTTAATGATACAGCTCAGCCTTCGAACGATTGCATGGAAAGCCTAGGATAATAGAACAAGAAGTGGTGGTCGAGAGGCGTTCAAGGCACTTCCATCTCCTTTGTGTTTTGTCTACCTGGTAGAAGTTTTGTTAGGAGTAATATACGTTAGTATGCACTTTAAGCGACGAAATAGATTATGATAAAATTCCCTACCTCGAGCCTACCAAAGCTTCAAGATTGGAAAGTGATTGACTGATGAATGCTTTTCCCACCAAATTGGCCCATCGTAGAACTAGCCCAAATCGGCTAGTGAAGATAAATCCCTCTCACCGCCATAGGCAGAATATTTCTCGCGACAGGAAATAATCAAACTGGAAACTCGAAAATTGTTTGGCTAGATTTTGACATTCTGATAACCACCTATTCTTCCAATTCCTACATCAACTATCCAACCATTCATTTAGTTTCATTATGGGATTTGGAACGGGAGCTTCTCGAGCCGAAAGAAAAGCCAAAAGGCGCAAGATCGAGAATTCAATTCCCGACATACCTGACGGCCTTGAAACAGAAGCAAATGACGATGGCGCCGTTTCGACAAAAAGAAAAAGATCTATAGATGATGACGCGAAAGTTGGCCAGACCGTCACTTTAAACAGGAACGAAGAAACCGCATATCAGAACGTAGAGTCCCATCACAAGTCCAAGAAGAATAAAACCTCTTCAACCGAATCGTCTTCACTGCCCATGCAAATTGAAGAGCCATCAGATATAGCGGAGACCGAAGCTGCGCCTAAGAAGTCTAAGAAGGAAAGGAAAGCGGAGAGGAAAGCTAGGGAGGCTGATGCAAAGTCAACGTCTATAACGCAGACGGCAGAACCTGCGACAGAAAATGCTACTGGACCCTCTGATCAAATTAATGCCGAGAAAAAACGTTCGAAGACCAAGAAGCAAGGAGCTGTTTCTGGTGGAAATTCCGAGAGCAAGGCTGCAAGATTCATTGTTTTTATCGGTAGAAGTCCCTCCCTAAGACATTTTCTATTTTTTGGGCTCACATGTTGTTAGGAAACCTGCCATTCACTGCTACAACAGCATCGATAAAAAACCACTTTGCAGCCGTTAAACCTGCATCGGTCCGCCATCTCACGGAGAAGGAAAATCCTACTAAATCAAGGGGCTGTGCTTTCCTTGAGTTCGAAGGCTATGATCACATGAAAACTTGCTTGAAGCAATTTCACCAATCCACGTTCAATGATGGTATCTCAGCACCAAGGAAGCTCAACGTTGAGCTGACGTGAGTAACATCCTTCCGCCCACCATTCGTGTTCCATCTAACCGTTATGATAGTGCCGGAGGCGGTGGTAACACTAAAGATCGTCGGTCCAAAATCAAAGAGAAAAATGTGAAACTGAATGAGCAACGTGTGAGACAAGCACAAGAGGTAATGATTCTCCTATTTTATATGTTTCTGCTGCTGGACGGCACACTTCTCTGGCAAGAGGTACATTTGCTTGTTCGTGACATACTAACAAAAACACCAGGCCGACAATCCTAAGGTTAGCAAAAAGGAAGCAGTTCAGGGAGTGAAGCATGTATTGGCTGAGGATAGTGGAGTCCATCCAAGTAGAAAGGCAAGAATCGGTGGATGAATTATGATACCCGTTTAAAATAGCATACAAATTGAAGTGAACCAATCTTCAGTATTAATGAAATTCAAGATACATATTGATTTGTTCATTACACCATGCATTTATCGTGACCTATCTACAGAAAAAGAGGTATCTTCGGTATCTTCAGGGACGCATGTTGCATCGATATATGCTGCCACATCCATATAATGCCAAATTCTACAGCATAGAATTGAAAAAGTCGATAAACAGAAAAAGCTTGTATTAACCCATTCATATTTCCCCGCACCTTACTCCTCGAAACTCTCCATCTCCGATTATTGTAGAAGTTAAAGCACTTCCAACCAGTTCACTGTATCTATAGATCGTCGCCTGTTGTTGTCTCAAATCAATCTGACTTCATAGAACTGTACACTTAGACTTCTTCGGCTTGGGTGCTTGTTGTTGTGGGCTCAGGACAGCACTTCATGTGGTCAGTTTCTCAGTCATATCATGCTTCGAGGAAAATATCTTACCGAATTGCCTCATCGAATACACTCTTGAGGTTTCTCTGCGTGAGCGCAGAACATTCTAAATATTTGTGTGCCCTGATTTCTTTGGCAACAACTCTTGCCTGGTCATAGGTTACAGGCTCCATTCGTTTGGATCTAAGGGATTCTTTGGTAGGCTCGTCATCTCGAAGATCCAATTTCGTTCCAACAAGAATAATTGGAACGCCAGGCGCATGGTGGGATATCTCAGGAAACCACTGTCATTCAATTGAGTCAGTGAAACATGATCACATTTTGCGAATCTTGAAGATTTCCACACATACCTTTGCTCGGACGTTATCGAAAGATGGAGGGCTGACAATCGAAAAACAGATCAAAAATACGTCTGTTTGGGGGTAGGAAAGCGGGCGCAGTCTATCATAATCTTCTTGTCCAGCAGTATCCCACAGACCTAAGCTTATTGGCTTTCCGTCAACCATCACGCTGGCAGAATAATTATCGAATCTAGCCAAGTTAGTGGCCAGCCTGTTGTAACCAAGCATCCAAACTCACACAGTAGGGATGTATTCTCCAGGAAATGCATTAGTAGTATACGAAATCAGGAGACATGTCTGTAAAAATAATGTCAGTGATTGAGTTGATTATGACATTGATAAAAGGGAGAGAAGTACTTTGCCAACAGCTCCATCTCCTGTCACAACACACTGTTCACAGATAAGGTCAGTTTCCTTGCTCAACAAACTGTGAGATCGATATTCCCATATGATATAATGAATCTGACCTTGAGCGATTGGGTTCCTGGTGCTGCCATTTTCCGATCTTTGAGATGATTTCTTGAGTTTGCTTGCGTTGATGGGTGTGTATCCGAGGATGAAGGAGTCGGATGGTTGTGTTATTTTTTGGTAGGATCGCCCTGCATGATTATTAGATCTTTGGACACAATGGAAACTGACTGTACTGGTCTGTATAAATAAAGAACAAGAGGTATCAAATGGAAAATGCAAGAGGATGTGTACCTTCTTCAGATGTTTCAAAATAATGGATGTTGTTTTCAATTAGGAAGCAAGTGCGGGATTGATTGACTGTGGTAGTATCAGGGTGTGAATTGATTGAATTCAATGTTGATTATATGGTGAATCCCGATGATTTAGTTATTATTTACTTGAGTTGATAAGGAAGACGGATCGATTGATGATTGTGTCAAAAGTGTGTAAAATGTAATTCGATCGACAGCAAGATGAGGAAAGTCGCAATAATGGATTAAAAAGCGAGCAAGACTGCTATGATCTGTTGTTGAGACAAAGCATGAAGCCTGAGCGCGGCAGGCTACTGAAGACATGAGGCAGATCTGTAACTACAAGCTTACGATAGAGCCATTTATCACGGGTTTCTTAGCGCCGCTGAGCGTACAGGGAACTAAGCCTATTAAAGCGCGTGAAGTATAAACATTGCAATTAATAGAGGAAAAAGAAATTAATATAATAAAATAAAGAGAGCCTATTAATGAGTGACTAATAAGTAAATTAATATAAAAGAACTAAGATAGTAGAGTATATAAATTATAAAATTAGATTTTCTCTTTAACTTATAAAAGAATAATTATTAATCTTATATTGTTATAATAAAGTAATTTAATATTTTAAAGAAGAAAATTGTTTCTAACTTTCGAGACTATTTCTACTAAGTTATCTCTTATAAGTTGTTTTTTATAATATTATTTATTAAGATATTCCTTTATATAACATTATTTTTCTATAATTAAAAATTTCTTCGAGAAAGAATTTTTCTTTGAGAAAGTATATTATATATATCTAATTTAAATTCTTAAAATGTTCTTATCTCTGAAAATCACTACGAATTTAGATTTTGAACTAAAATTATTATTACTATTATTAATCAAAATATTGAATATTATTCGAAATTTAAAATATACTTATCATTTTTCAAAATTTTATTTATCTAAGTCTTTACTTTTTTTTTATAGAAATTTCTATACTTATAATAATTATTAAGAGCTATTTAATATTCTCTACTAATTAGTATAATATTTATATAATAATATCATTAAAACCGAATTAGATTAATTATAATTCTATTTAAGACTATTAATTGTATTAAATCTATCTTTGAATAGAATTTTTTAAATAATTTAATAATTGTTATATACATTATAATTTATAAAGATTTTCTTAAAAACTTATTTCTTTAAGAAAATTCTTTGATTTAGAATTCAGATTCTTTCTAATTGATTATTGTTTTAAATAATTTACTTTTAACTTGAATATTTTAATAGATATAAAATATTAGATTATAAAGCTGTCTTAATATTAAAGCTAAAACTATACTACTTAAAGATATCGGCTATATAGATTATATAAGCTACGCTACTAGTATATAGTCTGTACGCTATATATTTTTATATTATTTTTATATATTTTATTAATAAAAAGTAATCTCTTTATGTTTTTAAAGCTGACTTTAATATTTAAATTACAAAAATAATCTTATAATTACTTTTCAACATTGAAATTTAATAAAAATATAGTATATAGACTATATATTAATAGTATAGCTTATATAATCTATATAAATAAAAATCTTTAATAGTATAGTTTTAATATCAATCATAAAACGACTATTATAAAGTCATTTAAAGATTTATTAGAATATTCATCTGAAACTTTTTTAAATTAGAATAAATTTATAAATAAAAAGATTATATTTCAATTAAATTTATCATTATTATTTATTTGTAATTATAAATGTAATTTCTTTATATAATTATATTCTTTAAATGAATGTATTTATAATTAATCTTATTATTTATAATTAATCTAAAATAATTTGATATACTTTGAGTATAGTTTATTTAGTTTTAATATAATTAGTGATTTACTTCTTATATTATTTTATTGGTTTTAATATTATTGTTACATGATAGGACTTTAATAATTATACTATTATTAAAACTAATATAGATCGAATAAATATTCTCTTTAACCCTAATAATTATTATTATAATATTAATCAAATCGATTTTCATTATAATTATTATTATGATTTTGTCACGGAAGTCACCGGATAGTGTAACCTTATAAGCACTAATCCCGGTACTCCTTTTGAGTACTTATTCCTATAATTACTAATATTATCTCATTTATTTCATTTATATGCTCTATATACTTAATTAAACGAATACCTTGCCCGATTAGGGTATATAAAGAAGGTGTGATTATTATGATTATATCTTAAGTCAATCTAGTTTATTATTACTTTATATACTTATCTTCTGATTAAAGTGATTATTAGACCTAGCTATTACCTCCGTGATAGATTTCTATATTAATTTTTATGCTTGAAGACCAATTAGAATACTATATTTAAAAAAAAACTAATTTCGAATTGTTAACTTATTTAGATAATTCTAATAATTATATTTTTGGTTATAGATACTTAATATATAATTAGAAATCAAGAGTGATATTATTTTAGATAATTAAAGATTAATCATAATGAAATATTACAGCAATTCTTTTGTATTTTTTTTAATATTATATTAACAAAACTTTATAAAATACAAGTATCTTTTAAATCTTTTGTTCTATATTTGTTTTTTAAAAGGATTTATATTCCTATTTCTAAACATATACTAAATCTTTTTTTAAGATCTTATGTAATATGATTATCTTTTCTAAAAAAAATCTTTCATAATTAAATCATTTATATTCATTATAAAACAATATTATTTAATTGTACTAAAAGTAAT